ATGTGGTTTCGCTACAGCTTCCAGAGGGGAAGAAAATATTTGCAACACACGGAGAGAGCGTCCTGTTGTCTGAAGTCAGCGCAGATATGAGTGCTCTTGCGCCGTGTACTCACGAGGAAACTGATTCCCGCATGATGGTTCATGCACTCCATGCTAGCGCGCATGGCCATCGACGAATAAAGATCCGAAATAATGATACTGATGTTGTTGTGCTGGCCGTGTCCATTGCTCCAGTTCTCCCGTTAGATGAGCTGTGGATCTCATATGGTTCTTCCAAGCAAGTCCGTAACCTTCCAGCGCATACCATAGCTACATCCCTGGGTCGAGAGAAAGCGCGTGTGTTACCGATGTTTCACGCATGAACAGGGTGTGATACGGTTTCATATTTCGGTGGAAGAGGAAAGAAGACGGCATGGGACGTATGGAACGCGTTCCCAGAGCTCACCCCTGTTCTTAAAGCACTGCTGATGCTGCAAGAGGATGTTGATGATACAAGCATGGATGTCATTGAGCGATTTGTGGTACTCCTATATGACCACACAAGCAGCCTAAACTAATAAACGGCGGAATGCATAGCAGTGTGGATGGTAGGAGGCGAAATGCCGAGTGACGAGCTGCCGTAGATGAATTCTTCGGTAACAAGGTAGAAGCTGCCCTATGATCAATAGGTTTCCCTGTCCAGTAGATGAGGAATCATGATTAGCTCCTCTCCGCCGCTTTCTAGGGATTCCCTGCATAAACTGTAAACGGATAAGGATTCTATGAGGTGGAGAGATTAAGGTCCAGTCTCGGCTCTCCTCGTATCCAGGTTAGTTATAGCCATGATGGGAAGTGAAGCCTAGACGGCCACCTGTATATACTTACTGTACAGCTGATGGCAGATCTTCCTATCTTACGTGCCTTTTAGTACGGAAACTGGCGCGGCTTCCAGAAATCATACTGTTGTGGTGTAGAACAGGAGCAGTCTAGAGCAATCGAGTCATGCTTCTCCTGCAGTATCCTTCATGCAAACAACGTGAATGGGGATAGGCACGCGTCATCGCAACTCATCTAGGACATCGCCAATAGTCGCAATTGGCAATTTGTGTGTGCGTATAGCTTCCCACACAGGCTGCGCTTCGTTGTTGTGATGATTTCGTTGCCATGGCCCGGCGATGTAGTGTATAGCGCATGCGCCTGACCTTTTCGCCCGACTCCCGCATATCTGCAGCTTATTTACGCCGTCGATTATTATGAAGTCGCGCCGACTCCCTGCTCACTTGGCGTACCACTCCCTCACACACCACCCTCTATAGCGAGCGCTATTTGCTGCCTCGTGCAGCAGAGACTCGAGTAGGTGTGTAATCGGAAAGCTGCCGCCGCCGCTGAAACTGATCGAGTGTTTCCTCACGATATTATATATAGCGATTTTGCGGCTTGCGCGTGCGAGCCGAATCAATTGTGGCCGCGCCCGCCACAGCTGCGGCTTGAATCTATACTATAACTATAGACAGAGTGCACTCACGGAAAATGCACACCTCCGCCAGCGACATACGCCATACGCCATACGACTCACGAACACACGAATAAGCCACGATATACGCCAGCGTACTGACATGTACACGCTGGCTTGCTGGCTTGCTGGCTTGCTGCTCGCTCGCTTGTATGGCAGCCGCTATTTGCTGCTGCTTGCTGACATGTACACGCTCGCTGGCTGATGCGCTAATATCGATCGCGCGAACACACGAACACACTAACACACGAACACACGAACACACGCACACGAGAGCGAAAACATAACCACCTCCAACTCCGTTGGGTGGAGGTAATGAGGCTAATCTTGTGTGTCAGTGTGTGTGTTTGTTTGACCTCGCTTTTCTCCGTGATTTTTCACTCAATCGCACTAACTGAAGATATATTCAGAATCACCACGTCTTGCAGATGGTTCTGGCTGAGACAAAAAATTTAAAAAGTTAAAAAGTCAAAAAAAAGTTGTAAAAGTCAAAATTCAATCATCACGTACGTGGGAATTATTTCGCGTGTCTTACCCGCCGCCGTAGCGTAGTCATCAGCTCGGTTTCATAAGCCGAGATTCCGGGTTCGAATCTCAGCTGGGGGAAAAAAATTTCTCGTTTACTTTTTTACTCTTTAGTATCTACTTCTGCCAATTCGGCGTTAATTGCAAAATGTAAAAAATAAATTTAACTACATTCATTAAAAACAATTTAAAAGTTAAAAATTGAAAAAAATTACTATTTTTTACTACTATTCTTATTTACTACTATTATTATTTATTATTATTTTCATGTTCTTTATATTATTTTTTATTGTTTGGGATTGGATAGGATGGGATGGGGTCGACTGTGATGGGATCGGATCGGATCCCATGAGATGGCATAGGATGGGATGGGATGGGATGGGATAGAAGACGATGGGATGGGATGGCATGGGTGGCATGGGATAGGATGAGATGGGATGGGATGGCATGACATGGCATGGCATGGCATGACATGCGCTGGATGGATGGATGGAGGGATGGCTGGCTGGTTGGATGGATGGATGGATGCATGGATGCATGGATAGATACATAGATAGATAGATTTTGCGGTATTTTCCTTTCAACTAAGTGGTCACCAACTGAGCACTTTTTCCTCTGCTCACTTATAGAATTGCGCTCTTTGTTTCTTCCCAAAATGTTTTTTTGTTTCTGTTTTCTTTTCAGTTGCATGAAATATTTAACTTCAACTGTGTCACTTACGTGAAGTTTATATTTTAAGGCACGATTTGGTCGTTGTACGGGTATTAGTCTATATATATACAGATGATAACATTGCCAACAATGTTGTTATTATGTATATCTGACCCTGCTCACGCAAGAATGACCAGCATGCGTGCATTTCGAATCAGTAACCGATTGCTCTTGTTTTTGGCACGCGCGTGTTCATTAATCGTGGGTTCGAGCCCCGTCATAGAGCTATACTAGTCTACTCCTTATATTTACTACTTCACTATAATTTCTGGCTGATGTCACGCTGGTTAATTCTGTTAACAAGAGCCCATAATACAGCGTTTTTGTACTCTTGTTAACAAACTGCAGTTCAATTTGCTATCACGATGAGAAACGTTCCCAGAACGATGGAAATTTGTTCATGCCTATTATAACATCTTCGTAAACTTATATTAAAATTCGTTCGCAATCCATTAAAAAATGTGCTTGTAACCATTAAAAAACTCGTCTGTAAATTAACCATCCAAAGGCATACCCGTGTTCGTTCGAAAATTCGCACACGACACTCGAAAAGTACATGCATAACCTGACATGTGTCCAGTGAATAAGTCCGTCAGTCATTATACACAAGCCGTGTGTGTGTGTGTGTGTTTTTCAGGATGTAGAGCGGCCAGCGGGACACTGACGCTCGCACTATGATAAACCCGCACCCCACCAACCAACCACCAGCACAGCTCACTAGCGTCGCCGTCGCCGTCGTCGTCGTCGTCCGCCGTCGTCGTCGTTCCCGCGTGCCGGCGCGTCGATTCGGCGTAGCTCTCTCTCGGCGGGCCGCGTGACCCGTCCGTGACCCCCCTGCAGCTGCCGGCGTGTCCGTGACCCGCCCGTGACCTCCGCCGCGCTCACACACGCGCACGATGGTCGAACACGGCGAGCTGATGGCGGAGATACCGGTGCTCGAGAAGATGCCTATGCAGGAGCGGCTGAAGCACGCGCGCAAGCGCCGCTCGCAGCAGCTCAAGAAATACGGGCAGCGCGAGAAGGAGCACTCGCGCAAGAAGAAGAACTCGTCGGCCGGCGGCAGCAGCGGCAAGAGGAAGGCGGCGGCGGGCCGCGCTGCGCACCTACACATTCGATTCGAGCCGAGCGTTATGCTTCTCGAGGCGGCCGCTCGCAACGACGTCGAAGAAGGTACGTGCTGTATGGGAGTGGGAGAGTGAGGCGGGAGGTACAGGAAGGTACGTGCGGGGCTGTAAGGGAGGAGAGAGGCGTGTGGGGTGGGAGTGGGAGAGGTGAGGAGGGGAGGTACAGGAAGGTACGTGCGGGGTTGTAAGGGAGGAGAGAGGTGGGTGGGGTGGGAGTGGGAGAGGTGAGGAGGGTGGTACAGGAAGGTACGTGCGGGGCTGTAAGGGAGGAGAGAGGTGGGTGGGGTGGGATTGTGATGGGAGTGGGA